TTTTTTTGGCCACCTCAGTACTTGTTATCAGATATTCAACATCTCCAAGAGATTTAATTTCTCACACTTAAGACATATTAGAGACAGCGCTTAAAGCAATTAAGATCCATGGCAAGCGATAAAACCTGCCCATTTTCGCTAATCAAGTAATTGGACGTAAATGAGATCTATGGCAAGTTTATGTAAATGCAAAGTAAACAAAATGATTAGCTAGATTTATGTTACAGGGGGACAGAGGAGGGCTGCAGCGGAGGCCAACATTTATCGCTGACAATAAACAATAGCCTTAAAGGACAATTCAAATGGCAAAGTAGGGGGCAAGGCAACCCCTTAGCCCCAGCAGCTACACGAAAAGTGAGGGGCAAAGTGGAGCCAAAGAGCAGCGCATTGGCGAATGGTTTTTGTTTAACAAATATATGTAAGTATATCTACTTATATACAGACACAGACATACATACATCTAAATATGAGAAAAGTAACAACAAATACACTAAACAAATTATCAAAGTGGGGTGGAGCTTAGCTATGTGTGAATGTGTCTGTGTGTGTGTGTGTGTGTGTTTACTTATAAATATGAATGTGTGTAGATGTGTGCGTGTGTGTATATGTGCTAACTGGTTTTTAAAGTAAACAACGCTTAAATTAGCGAATAAAAATGTATTATTAATGCGAAAACATGTTTATAAGACCATACATACACACACACACACAAACACACACGCACACATACAGCTACACTCGCAGAATCAGAACAGAACGAGCTAAAGAAGAGACGCGTTGCGCGAGAGAATGAGAAAAAAAGCTCGTTTAATTGTTGTTGTTGCTGCTGCTGTTGTTGTTTTTTTTTTTTTTTTTAAATAAATAAGAACAAAACGCGCAGCCGATATATATGGCGTCGTCTATAAGTTAAGGCGGGGCTAAGCGGCCAAACTGAAAGTCGTATAAGAAAACACAAAAAGAAACTGAAGCAGAAACACACACATGCACACACACACACACACACACACGCATACTAATAAAAGTCGCATTTGCTTATCTTAAATGAAATTAATAAATTAGAATTGAGAATTGAAATTTCAATTGCGGCAAACGATAAATGTGGATTATGTGAATGGGTTACATGTGTGTGTGCACAGTTTAGTATGCACATGTGTGTGTGTGTGCCGATAAAGTTTTATATATTTTTATACACATGCATATTTAATGGCTCTATAATCACGTAGCTAAAGGCGGCTGCGCAAAAAATAAAATAAATATATTTATAATTTATATTTCTATACATACAACACACATAAAATGTATATATACCCTCTATGGATCGTATGTATATTAGGCGCAACTCAAAGCTGTGACTGCTCCAAAAAAAATTTGAAAAAATAAAATAAATATATTAAAAAAAAAACAACACACAAAAACAAGTTTTGGGAGAGCTAAATTTTAATTTCATGTGACGCACATAAGATTTGCCTATACGCAGGCACGTAGAGCCGCACAAGACAAAAAAAAAAAGTATCTTACAGATACCAAAGCCCAAAGCCTCTAACAGCCCAGCTGCACTTTCTGCTATATTGTATTGTTCTATCAAAATATGATATTAAAAGCGCTTACCCTTGAAACATGTTCATGGGTTTACCTAAGGATTCGTTAGGGCATTGTTTCAGGCCACAAGTAGGATCTTTTTAAGCTGATATCAAATATGATATGATAGTATATGAAATGTTATCGGTTGGTATCTCCATTGCTCACGCTATCTCTCTCTTCCTTTTTGGATCATTCAATTTTTCTATCTTGCTCCCCTCTATATGTCTCTTTTTCTCAATCTTTTCTCTGTATCTCTCTCTCTCTCTCTCTCTCTCTCTCTCTCTCTCTCTCTCTCTCTCTCTCTCTGTCTACTTCACCTTGTTAATTGATTTTTTTCTTCCTTTTTCTCGCACTCTCTTCTGGCCGATTCCTTCTATCCTCAGCTGAAAGCTTTCACACCTCCACACCCGTATCCACATGAATTTCTCAGCTATTTGCATGCCCATTAGTCCAGCTGGGTAACCTGAACTTGTAGGTACTTGTACACACCAAATACCTGAATGCCGGCCACAACTTGCGCATACTTAACGCACTCGAGTGACAATAATTGAATTCATTATGGGCAAAAAACGATTGTGACAATAGCGAACCAGTTGGATAGTTGGTTATTAGCTGATATGCTGGCTAGAGGATTAACAATGGCGGGTTAATTAACCTGATGGTTACGTTGGCCTTGGAGCACCAGCAGCCGACAATGGATAGCTAGTAAATGTGTGTGTGTGAGAGAGAGAGAGGGAGACAGAGAGATAGAGAGACATGCTTATGTGGTTTTAAGTATTATTCGGTATAGTCTAAGTTCTGCTACCATTTTTATTTTGGATACGTGTGAGTTTTTTCATATGAGCTTAGCCCCTAGTACTCGTATCTCCCCCTCTAGTGCTAACGCACTCTAAACTCTGATTTTGTAGTGGGGCCATAAAATGTGTTGTTATATTGACATGATCTTCGCGTATGTTGTTGCCGCTTCGAACGCGTCTTGCAAAAATCTTTATCAACCGGGGGTCAACAAACCCCCTCGATGAGCACCGTCGTGTGCCCGGTTGCTCTTGCTGTTGCTGGCCTGCCTGCTTCCCGGCCTACCTTTGGTTTATCAGATAATGTGACCAAATACAACCGCGACAGCGACTACGTTGATGACATTGTCGTCTCTGACTCAAGACCCCATAAAACATGACGCCAACTTAACGGTATTATTGCCATTATGATGCCAGTTGAACATTTTGATTTGAAAAACTTTAGATGAGCGAATAGAGATTTGAAAATTTGTTTGGGATTTTAGTTTTTATAGATAAACAATTTTAGAGCATAGAATATTTGCTTATTGGATTTAAATCATTTCCCAATTATATTTACTTTCTATAGATTTTACATATCATTTATTCATGAAAATATATTTACTATTTACTTTCATAGTCGAATACTTTAGTTAAATCTTATACTTTACTTATACTTACTTCTAATATTTTAGATTTCTTAAACTACCACATAGCATACTTTTAAGAGTGTTTATCTTTGCTCATTAAAATTATTGAAATACTAGGTAGCTCGATAAAAATCAGTTAGTATTAAAATAATAATTAAGGCAATGTCTAAAAAAAATGTATGCTTGTTGTATAGTTCTAAGCTTAAACTAGTGTAATAAATTCCATTATATTCCAAAAACATATAGTACATATGTTTTCGTAACACCAAAAGCACTCACCATGTAAACAATGTGGGGGCTAGAATAAATATGCCCAACAATTAAATTGCGTTTGCTGCACGTTAATTTGCAATATATAAAAAATGTTGCATCGACTCGATGCATTTAAGACTCAAGCAAAATAATAGTAAAAGAATATTTCCATGAGTGGAGCGCGTCACAGATAACAAACGGAACGCCAGAAACACAACAGAACTGAACAACTCGAAATAGAGCAATAAAAATAAACAAACACGTGCGAAATGCGCTCACGGAAGAGCCCACGAGGTTGGCTAAGGCTGGCTGGCTGTCTGACTGGGAGGAAGGCAGGCAGGCCGACCGGGAATATGCACTATGGTGAGACGTACTAAATGAAAATTGCGCGCTAGGACAACCTAACCAGAGGCGGTCAAAACTGCACTGAATGCGCCAGCACTGGCCCCGACTCCCGAACTCCGAGTAACACATAGAAGGCGGAGACGGAGACGTTGACGTAGACGTAGACACAGAGACAGAGAACGAACCAGAGATTCTGATACGCCGAGTGCTAAAGAGAAAGAGAGGGAGAGAGAGAGAGAGAGAGAGAGCGTGCAAGCTGTCCGGAATCGGAATCATCGGAGCAACGGGCGATTCGCATACATAAATAATAAATATTCACTTACATATCTAAAACAAAATGGAAAAAAAAACACACAAAAACAAAATTAAAATAAAAACATATACATACATACATATGCATGTATTTGTATATAACTGTAAAAAACATAAAGCGAAGCAACCGAAAACTTGGCTAAACAAAGTGCATAAACAAAAGTTGAGCTGTGGCTTTTGCTTTGCTCTTCTCTGTATTTATTTTAACTCTTCTTTGGCGTTGTTCTTCGTCTTGTTGTTGTTATTGTTGTGCTTTGCATTTGAAGAAAATTTGCTGACAATTGCAATAGAATTTTTGTTTTTATTTTCGTTTGTTCTGTGCTTTATTTAGTTCCCTCTTTTCACGCTTAACTGTTGCAACGCCAGCCAAAGGCAACGAAACAGGAGGAGGAGAAGAGACGCAAGAGACAGTGGCTGAAGCTGAGCCAGAAGCAGAAGCAGAGGCAAAACCAGAGGCAAAGGCAAGCAGGCAGAGACGCTGCAGCTGAAGGCGGCATGTGGGTCTTATTTCAATTTACAACCAAGTGACGAAGTATCACAATTCAATGTTTAAAGTTTTTATCACGTTGTGGACGGACGCCAGCGCCACACACATACGAACAAATAAGAGCACCGCAAATCGGTGTAAGCTGAACTTGCAAATACCCTGTGTAGGGTTATATACATAAATATGTATGAATATGTATAAAGTTAAATGCAAATACAATATATACATTATTATTATCGTTTACACACAACACAATTTTTAACCTCTGTTTGTTGTTTATCTTGAATACATTTAAATCTAATAAACAAATCGTCAAAAATAAATGTTAAACGTCAATTTCCAAAGTTAATTATATTTAAAATAATGGCCCATATATTATTGCACTAAGGCAATGCCTTTATTTTATATCATAGGGTATTACGAGCAAATGGAGCGTCTAGCGGTTTGGGTGCTTGCATTGAGGCATATGCAAAAAACGTCGCATATGCATCTGTGTGTGTATGTGTAAACTTCTGTGAACGGGACTGGGCTGACACAGTATGGTTAATATGGCGCGACAGTCCCTCGCCGGGTCGTTCGCTTAGTCAGCCCGCTCCGGCACTAACTATTTAGTAAGCAACTGAAATAGTAGCACCCGTGTTAGTATCAGTTCATGAAATGACAAAAAAAAAAAAACAAAACAGCGCACACCATATTAGCACACACACACACACATGCATACAAGCAGCGTATGTATGTATGTATGTAAGTAGAATGACTTGGATACATAGGTTGCATTTGAACACAAGTATAACTATGAGTGTGCGAGAGTAAGTATGTGTGTGTGTGTGACTCTGAGAATGGGCATGCAAGAATCACAGAACAACGTCAGCGTAAACTGATTACCCCCCCTTCGATCTATGGAGCACGTACACAACGTTCGCTTGCGATTGGCTATTTTTGTTGTTGTCGATTTTTTGTTTTCGGTTGTCGTCTATGGGAACCTTCGGCACGGGAGTTTGGTTTACAACGTTACACTTCGAAACGAGTCATTTGACGGGTAGTAGCTGCCAAACTAAAGGGTGATGCATGCCCAGCTCATCTAATTTATGTAATGCAGTATATAGGAAGTCATAGTTGAGCTTTGAATTACAATTGCACAAAAGTAAAATGACTTCTTTGATGACTTTGATTACATAGTTTTTTTTTTTTGTTTTTTTTTTTTTTGCAGTATTTTTTAGTCAATCATGTCAATGATCGATCACTCATGGAAAATGGCAACACTAACAAACGAACAGCACAGAGGGACGCAATGCGAGCGCTTAAGATTAACTTGCACTTTCTGGCAACTCTGAGTCCCTCATACACCCACTTCCAGCTGCAACTATAAATTGTTGTCTAGAGCACAACAAGCATATTTACACATATGCATATAACATCATACAAATGCAGACGCAACGCATACACACACACACATCTACAGAAACATAAAAAAAAATCAAAATGCAAAATAAAAACAACACACAACATGCAGTACATATGTATGTATGCATACATACATACACGACTATAAATTTTTGCACGAAAATGAACACGTGCTGCTCCAATAAGGAATGGTAGCGCGCGAGAGGTTGCCTGCAGGCACAGCCGGCTGCCAGAGTGTGGATCGCGGGACAGCGGCAGAGCGGGGTGGGCAAGGCAAGTGTGCGTTATGCTTGCATACCAAGCGCAACAATAACAAATGGCAACGTGAGAGCTGTTTTGTGGCTGACTCATGCTTCGCAATGCAATTGCCAATGTACTGCCGCTCTTTTGGCCTAAGAGCGAGTGGGTTGTAAAGAAAGAGACAGGTTAACCAATAAGAGCGAGTAGTAGACCAATTCTGTTCCAATAAGCAGCAGTTGGAGGTCGGGATGCCAACTGCGGCTGCAATGCGGGCTATTTGGTCTGAAACTTTAGTAGCCTCTGCTAACTTTGAGCACAAACTTTTGATACGAGTACCTGCCACTAACTAAGCACAATTCTATACACGCACATTAGGCAAAAAGTTGGCACACGAAACCACCACGCATAGAAATTGAACTATGAAAATCCAAAAACTTTGCAGACAGAAATTTCTAGGAAACTGCACTCGAATAAAACAAACGCTCACACTTACCGCACCGCTTGCCATTTAGTTGTAGTACGTTGATGTTTGGAGTTGTTATTAAAGTTGTACTGATCACAAACCACTCTAAGTTCTCACGAAACGTTACAAATTTTGCACACACCGAATTACACACTAAAAATATTACAATAACAATCATCCATAGCCAAAAGTTTCAAAACAGCTGTAAATTTGGGCGCGCAATAGCACAGGGCTGTTATCACAAACAGCTGGCACGACCAATTTATCGATAGTGCGTGAAGAGAAACGTTTATTGTTTAAACATCGTTGACATTCTTCTCCTCTGTGACGGGGGTTTTACTTGGGATTTATTCTTTATGTTGGCTGACAGCAATTTGAACCAACGAAAGCGGCTAACATAGCGCTCGAATGACTTGCTTATAAAATATAATTTAAGTCGGCGCTTGCTGCGCATCTTCGCATTGTCCTTGTCTCTAACTGTTCTGCGATTGAAAATCATGTCCAGGGCAAAGGAACAATGCAGATAATAAAGGCCAACAGCGAACCAAGCCAAACTGGCATTGCTTTTGCAGCAGACGTAAAAGGCATACTTTTCCTGCTCATGTTCGCTAAGAAAAGACATCAGCTGATTATGTTCAATCAAATACATGTTCACGTAGACGGTTATCATATTCAACGTGCCCATGGTTCCGCTCATCAAGGCCTCGAACCGGTGCGCGACTCGTTCGTAGAATAGAGATCCTACCAATCCTGCAACGCCCAAAAGGACGCCACTAGCATAAGTCGCGCACAATATAAAAACGTTGGGAATCCCATGCTCCAAATAACAGAATAGGTGCCTGTAGCAGCAAGCCGAGCTTAGAATGATTTCCAATATCTTGAACAGCGTCCACACAGGCTTCTTGGAGCGATTATGCATTATTTTTCAGATTTATATTTTTATCTTTATATACATATGTATATATAGAGACATATAGTATATATTTTCATATAGTACACAGTTGACTGTAGATAAGGAGCTTATACCTTACCTACTCTGATTACCTACTGTACTAAAATAAGCTTAAAACTAGTTAAATTATTAAATTTATAAATATTTACTTGCGCCAGTATTGCGTTATCCGATGAATCTGCTCGACCAGGGCGGGCATCACAGCTGTTATGGATATGTCCAGCAGACTCTGCAAGTGCTGGACCGCCTCCTCGTCGGAGAGACCCAACTGCAGATTCTCCTCCACTTTCTTGACCGCCTTGTCCGGTTCCAGGGCAATATCGGGCACTGTGGCATCCACCATGAGCGAGAACAGATTGAGCATCACATTGGCATGCCGGCGCAAATGCAAATACGCCGTATAGCACTGCTTGCGAAATTCGTGATAGAAATCCGAGCTGACACCGCCCATGGCCTCGACCATTTCTTTGCTCAGCTTCATGGGCGGCGGCATGGGCTTCGGATCACGTCCAAGAATGTAGCCAAAATCGATGTGGAACAGCTTGCCATTGCTGGTTAGCAGCAGATTGTCCAAATGTCGATCGCCTACACCCAGCAAATATGTGATGACGCAGTAGCCCGCACAGCTCTTAATGTATGTGTCCATGACCTCGGAGGAGATGCCAAAGGGTCCGCTGTCGCAGGGATTGTGGCGTTTGAAGAAGTTAAGTATGTTGCCCTCACGGGCGAGCACCTCGGCCACGGTGCACGAGTCGATGTACTGAAGGAAGCCATGCTTGGAGCTGGTTGCCAGCACTTTATACGGTGTCAGTTTGAGATCAAGATTCTCTCGCCGCAACAGCTTGTCCATCAACGTAATCATTTGCAGTATGAGCTGATCCTGACGCAGGTCATCGCCATGCTTAAAAATGGCCACATACTCGTGCTTAGCAATGGATGTAACAAACGTGAGTCTGTAACCAGCAGATGATTATGATCAGCATTCAGCAGCTAAATATATGAGCTGAATCCACTTACTTGGCTGGCATCAAGGCGCTCTTAAATAGCGATGTGCGCGTTGGTATTATTTTGGTTATATAGATCTCTGGGTCTAGGGGGAATGGGATTGGCTCAAAGTTGGTAAAGTTCACCTTGAACATGACCTGGTCGGCGAGTAGCTTCTGGAACTTTTCCGTTTTCTTGTTGCGATTCCCTGGCTCCTTGGCCACCAGCTTCACCAACTTGACCAGCTCGTCGATAAAGCACTGCTGCTTGCGCAGATTGTGGGAAATGCCGCGCAAATGGAAGTTACCTATATGCGAGACATGGAGAGGAGGTATTAAGGAGGGCTTCATGTTGACAGGAAATCTACGCACCGTTATCCAGCACCTTGAGGAATATGTTATAGACCATGGCATACATGTCGTGCGCACGCTGATCCTGTTTACGCACCGATTCGACATCCTCCACCTCGATGGACAGATACCAGTACAAGTAGTTGGCCAGCGTGGCATTCTTGCAGGCGCGCTGTATTAGGAATGTGCACAGATTAACGGGCACGCCCTGACCCAGAAGCGTTGTATTTGAATTGGATTGGGAGGCCATTGAGGCGGCGCTCACTTCGCCGCCCTCGGCGCGGTCCATCCGAAGTGCCGGTGTGCTGGCCCTGATCGCCTGTACGCTGGCACTGCTCGCCATCGTCGATTTTTCGGCCTTGAGTGCTGTGAGCGCAGCACGCTGATTGGCGGGTATTACCGAAGCATGCAGAGCGCTGCTCGCTGCGCTCAGGTCGGAGATGCTGCTTTGGTCGAGCAGAGAGTCGCTCTCGTCCAGCAGTGAGCAGCCCGCATCACGCTCTGGCTCTGGTATGATGAGCTTGTGCAGCTGTATTACGTTGCGTGGATCCTCATATTTGAGCGCCTGCACTAGCTGCAGCAAATAGAGCAAGAGATCCTCGTCGGGTGCCTGCGCCAGCCGACTGATCGCATATTTGCGCACCTCCGGGTGTGTAAACGTTGGACTGAGCAGCTCCAGCGCATCCTCCACATCCATGGGCGCCCAATTGGCTAACATCCAAAGAGCCTGAGTCACCTCATCGTTCATTTTCCAATTGATGCACTTCAGAAACTTTGTGAGCGCCTTTTTGTGCGTGGACAAATAGAAACGGAATTTCCACACCAAGTCCTGCTCCTCGCTGTTCAGCACATACGTCGGTGGATAGCAAACTATTTTATGCAATTGATCACGAATGCTGGAGGTAGAATGTTATTGGATTTGGAAAGCTCAGTAGAATTTCAATAATACATACATTGTTGTCGGCTTGGCATCCCGATCTGAAATACCAGAGCGCTCCGAACGTGCCAGACGATGATGTTTGCGCTCAACTAGATTTTCCTGCAATAAGAAACTTTGAGTAAAATGCTAGAAATAGCTTTTTTTTACTTACCATTTGAATCTCCGAGTCCGGGACCAGAACTAACTTTGGTTTAGCTGGCAATTTATATTTGCTATCCACTTCTGGTTCAAAGTAGACAACTGAATACTACAAAATATGAAAACACATTATCGTATATTCTTATAGAAGGCAAATAATAGCCCTTACGGTGTACATATCATCCACAATAATTGTGGGGAACTCGATCATGAGGAACATGTAGTCGGACATTCGTTTCTCACGCTCGTTAATCACTTCAATTTCACGGAATGTCAAGCGATCCAGCCAGTCGACCTTCTGCACCTGGCCGTTGCGGTGCTTTTTGGCCAATTTGCCAAGCCGTTGCATCTGCGATTTGGAGGATTCCTTGCCTTTGCCAGGGGTTTTGCTCGGAAAGTTGCCGTCACCCTCAACGCCCAACCAAACACGCAGATCGTACATGCCCTGACGGAACATGCCGTCCTTGCCAAACATGGAGATAGCAGTACCGCCAATCACCGTTGTCTGGCCAGCACCGGAGCAGTCGAGTATGGTCAGAACCAGCATGGCGCCCCGTGGCAAATCCGAGAATAGCAATGGCAATGTCACCCACTCATTCCAGCTCCAGCGTTTGCTAAAGGCCTTGTATGAATTGTGCACAGGCAGGCAATAGGGACGTCCGTCATTGTAAACCTGTAGTCGCACTTGGAACGAGGGATATTCCTCCGAATAGAGCCCCGAGAAACGTAGTATGGGATCATCGAGCAGTTTTTCGTAATCAGGCTGGCGTTTCTTGCCTTCGAGCGTGCCACTGTGAGAGAACATATATTATTTAACATCATTGGGCATGGAGTGATTGATTACTAACACTTTAATTTGGACACGTTCGTGTAGTGAGGAACTGTGTATATAGCGAAAATGATCATCAGGCTGATCCATTGCGACTATTTTTATTTTTCATCCACAAGCAGCTGCTTGATGACGAACCTATCAGCAATCAGCTGATTGAAATTCAAACATATCGATAAATTTCTTTTGTTGTGTTTATCGAAATGATAAGTTAACAGAAGCACGCATTCTTAACAGAAGAAGAAGCAAAGCAGGCGCGAACACATTGGAACTGACTAGGAAAGATTAAGATGGCCACAAATGCAATAATAGAGCTGGCGTCGGATCGCGTAGATTGGACTGCATTGGCCGATAACCAAGAGCAACTCCCACGCATTTATACGCCCGGCGAGGTGCTGATGCCAGAGGCAGGCTTTATGCGCGGCCATGGCACCTTCGTGGAAGACGAAAACATAAAAGCCTCAGTGGCAGGCGTGATTGAGAAGGTGAACAAGTTGATATCGGTGCGACCGCTTAAGAGTCGTTATGTGGGCGAGATCGGCGATGTGGTAGTTGCACGTGTATTGGAAGTGGGTCAAAAACGTTGGCGAGTTGACACAAATTCACGCTTGGACTCATTGCTGCTACTTTCTTCAGTAAATCTACCAGGTGGCGAGCTAAGGCGGAGGTCGGCAGAGGATGAACAGATGATGAGACGTTATCTGGACGAAGGAGATTTGATATCTGCCGAAGTGCAGGTCAGTAAGGCGAAAGTAAATTATGCTTATACTTGACTTATTGAGCATTTTGCAGAATGTCTTTGAGGAGGGCACATTGTCGCTATACACCCGCAGTTTAAAATATGGCAAACTATCCCAGGGCATACTGGTCAAGGTTTTCCCAGCGCTTGTCAAACGGCGAAAGATGCATTTTCATAATCTGCCATGTGGAGCGTCCGTCATTCTAGGCAACAATGGCTACATCTGGATATCGCCCACAAAGACCGACGAACAGGTCGGCGGCGAGGGTGGCTTCGCTCAGAACTTGACGGAGGTGGTGCCACGAAACGAACGCGAGGTTATAGCACGCCTACGCAACTGCATCCTGGCACTGGCCAAGTGTAAACTGATGTTATACGATACAAGCATTCAATACGCTTACGACGAGTCGCTGAAATACGAATCCCGTGAGCTACTTCAGCAGCATGTAATCTTCGATATTGGCGAGCAGACGCAGGCTCGGCTCCGAGATGTCGATCTTATGGAATGATGCAAGGGCCACAATAAAATATACATATTCGACTTTTTGTATTATTATTGCTAAGATATATTGCTGTCAGTCTAGCTAACAGAGAAGTCCTTGGAGTTCGTATAGGTTGTCTGTTCTTCTACACGATATATATAAGTATATCGATTGATTCAGCTGTAGTTATTTTGCAACCTCGTACCTCGTAGACCTAAATTATCAAACTACCTGACTTGGCATAGGGCTACCTAAACAATAGAAACCCGTCTGAATTTACTTTAAATAAATATCCGACTTAGTCATCTAAAACACGCAGTAATTTTATATCTTTTTATTTAATAAGTGAATAAAAATTGTTTATCTCACTTTTATATTAATCAATTATTAATTATAATGCAAATAATTGGCTACGTTTGTTACAAACTCTTGTCAACAAGTCTTTAATCGATAATCTGATGTTACCCAAAACATTTCCTTTTCAGAACTGCATTACACCACGAATATGTGGTCAAAACAAAAACGATTTGTTTACTATGAATATTTAGTGAATTTGCCCTGCATCTAAGTAGCAACGCTTTGTTTAGCCCTCTGGCAACGCCAAGAAAAATGGCCTCTTTGCGTCAAGGGTGGCAGCTCTGTTCGAGGTTCGTGTATTGATGCAAGGCATTGTGTTTCTAATTTTGATTCCTATTTTTTCTTCATTTACAACAAAATAATTATAATCAACTACCTTGCGCGTGATTTAATTGCTACGTCAAGATAAAGACTATACAAATTTCGAAATGGCTGACATTGGCGTTGTGCGCGAAACTGAATTACGCAAAAAGGAAATATGCCGCTTCTGTCTGGTGCAACAAAGCAAACTTGCCTCAATTTACGTTGAAAACACACGCGTAAAGTCGACCGCGTCGCTGCCGCTGCAAATAATGGCTATAACATCTATAGAGGTAAGTCGCGATTTGGTTCTAGGTTAGACTAAGCCATCATCTCTATTGGCCTGAAGATGAATAATCAAAGAACTTAGCTAAGATGTTTGTCATCGCTGGTTGGTTTCTAAATAGCTGCGTTGGCGTCTTCGCTAACAAATTTGGCGGGCTTTTACAGTCAACAATATTCCGCTACAGCCAGGACAGCCGTGTTAGAAATGTGTTTAATTGTGAGAGACCGATAATAGGATAAACAAATCACTCAAGAATATTATTTACCATTTTACCAATATGGCGACAACTGTACAAAAATTCACATACACAAATGCAGCTTGGCGCAATGCTGCCAGATCGCTAGACAGCTGAAGGGAACATTTAAAAATACAATTTAATTATTATACTTCAGTTTTCGTCTTTCATTCATGTTTATTTATGTTTGCATATCAAATATATATACGATTCTTGGTTTGCTTATCTATTCATATGTGTCTTGTTGCTTAATCTATAAATATAATTCTGAAAATAATGGAAGATGGCATGGTTCTACCCAATAATTGCAACTTAATTTTAATTGGAATTTGTTGTGTAAGTCAGTCAGCGGCGGTTGTTAGCCTGCCTGGCTGTAAGGGGGTTTGTCATTAAAGCGCAAAATGCGCGTCAACATTGACGTCACACATGGAATTTGCTTCTGACGATCCATCAACGGATTCGATGGCACGTTCGATTCGTAATCGACGGCCACACGTTGGCTAACGAAAGTCAGCAATGTGAGCATATTGTATTCCTTTCCATTTTCATTGAGCTCCTTTATGAGCGACTGAATGTACCATGAGCCGTTATCAGTGTTGCGCCACGAAAAGTATCCTGCAGCATAAAAGATTTGGCTATAGCCGGGTAACAATCTAATAATAATAATGATAGAGATTACCTGGGATTGTTGAATATGAGAATAAAAAGTCGGCATGTGTAGGTATTTTGTAGCTCGTCGAGGAATCGCCATCCGTTTCCGTTTCCTTTACCATCGTCGAGCCCGGATCAAGTTTATCACCCTGACAGGCCTGTATGAAGAATAACTTTGGTTTACCAGCTAGCGTGGGGCAATTGTTAGCGGTAAAATAGGTCCAGATGCTGTCCAGCCTGTATTGAACATCTTTGGCATAGAGGTGACCGTGCTCGCCATGGGACATCACCGCAATCACTATGCAATCATTGTCAGTGTGATCCTTGGCAGCAGTCTTGCTTACAACATCCAGAATCTCGCTCAGGATGCAATCCTTGTGTACAGTCACCTCGAAACCTAGACGTTCCAGGGCTTTAGATAGCTGTTCGCTGTCCACATTGGTGCCTCGACGCGTTGACAGATAGGGTATAGTAAAATTTTCGTGATTGAAGATGAGGGCCTGTCCCCGGTGCTTATGATTCATATTATATTCCTTAGCGTATCGGTCGGTAGTCATTCGAGCGACATATTTATTTATTGGGCTGATTCAACCAAAAGATAAAACAAATTCGTATTATCAGTAATTGGCTCATTATTATACATATAGAGCTCTGATAGCCAACTAACAAATCTCACAGTAAAGTGCAGGAAATGGAGTGACTATTATCAATGCATACACAAAGACACATGTTTAACTTGCAGAACACTCTACAGAATATAATTTATATAACTCGATTGAAGTCGATTGCTTATCAAAGCTTTGAGAACTCGTTTTTGTTAAAGAAATTTTACATATATATGTATATGTACATATATCTCAACACGATCATTACACCCTCTTCATCTTATACGGCGCATGGTATATACATATGTACATACATACATGCATATGTATGCACATAAAAAAAGAAACACACTTACGGTGCGACGGCATTGGCTTCACCACCGCTTCGCTTAGAATTTGCGCTCGCTTCTCCTTTTGCGTCGATGGTATCAGCATTGTTGTTTATTTTCCCGCTGTCAAGGTCGTGAGAGCCAAAGGATCTAATTTTCCATTCGTCCGTCATTTTACTTGTGTTTGGTCTTCTCCTATTATCTCGTTCTTTCTTCTCTATCCCTGTACTCGCGCTTGTGTGCGTTTCTCCTTGTTGTATTGCTTTTGTTCTGCTTATTCAATTGTTGCGCCCTTTCCACTAGCCAAGTATTTTATATATGTATATGTATGTGTTTGCTTGCACTGATATATGCTTAGTTTTATTTTTTTGCACTGTAAACAGCTGATTTATTACGCTTGCCACGTGACCAACAGTTATAATTTGTATTTGATTAAGAATAACATAAATATCCTTTTATGGTTAACCGCGTTTAATCAATCAATTAATGAATGCGGCGTAGAGCGAACTCTGCACTCACGAAAACAAATCGTGCGAGTGCACTTGTAGTTGTGCAGCGCTTGCCGCCAACTGCATAAGGCGTTGCCACCTTTGCCGTTGGCATGGTCAGAGCGCATGCGCGGTGCTGCCACTTGAATATGTTTTACCATTCACATGTAAACGCGTTTGTTTATTTATTGTTTTTAATTAAACAGGTCCAGAGCAATGATGGAATGCCCAGCTATATCTGTTTGGACTGTCGTCTGCTTTTCGAGCACTGCTACCGCTTCAAGCAGATGTGTAAAAATGCGGACACTCTACTGCGACAATATCCGCTAACAGGCAAATGGCCTGAACCACTGGAGAAGCCCCGTGCCCCATTGATAGCCAATCAAATGGGTGCAGCTAAGAAGGACTCTGCAGAAATGCAACCCAAAAAGCTGCTCAACTCCATGGCCAAGTCAAATAATGTCCAGATTGAAAGCGTGCAGGTATTGGAAACCAGCAGCCTCACCAAGAAGCTGCTCAACTCGGGTGCGGTGAGCTCTGCTGAGCCACCGATTCCTCCAAGAGCGTCTCCGGCGAAACGCTCACAGGCGAAGTCATATGAAGTGAAAGTAGAGAACAACCAGGAGCTTTCCATGGACGATGTGCACAATCTACTTGCCGATATGGCTGACGAACTAGATCTGGGCGACGTAGCGCCTGCTTCTGCAACGCCTTCGGCTAAGAAGCCAAAGGTGCTCAACAAATCATCGATGCGACTACTTAACAAAGGTGCCACCACACCATCAGAGCCTCGCCTGGCCACGCCACAAATAAAGCACTACGAGGATGGCAACGTGGCGCTTGTTACGGAAATACTCGATACGGATGCGATCGAATCAAATGATCCGGCTGCAGATCCGATAAAGAATGCAGCGCCCGTAGCGACAAACGTCTTTCCATGTCCCCACTGCGATCGTTCGTTTCCATTGATGCAGCTGCTTGACATACATGTTGTCAATCATTCTCGCACACGCAGCTTCCAGTGCCCCGAGTGTGACAAGAGCTTCTTCTCCAAATACGATCTGCAGAAGCACAACTTTATACACACAGGCGAGCGCCCATACAAGTGCAGCGTCTGTGAGAAGGCCTTCACTCGTCGTGCTCTGCTGCATCGGCACGAGCGCACCCACACCGAGGTGCCCAAGTTTATATGTGTTTACTGCGAGAAGCCGTTCATCTCACGCAAAGAGATGGAGAAGCATGCAGAGCGCCACACCAAGAAGAGGCCGTTCCAGTGTGGAGTGTGCCAGAAGGCGTTCGCTTTTAAGCAGGGCCTGGAACGACACGAAGTGAGTGCAAATTGAGAGCAGTCTTTATATGTGTGTGTGATTCATCTTTATGTTTTTCTTCAGGTCATTCATAGCACTAATCTGCCGTTCCCGTGTCAGTACTGCAGTCGGAGTTTTGTGACCGCTGGTAAGCTGGCGCGTCATCTGGTTGCGCATGCCGGCAAGCGTGTTTATCCATGCAAGTATTGCAACAAGTCGTACCTGCTCTCGCACCACCTGTCGCGGCATCTGCGCATGCACAAACAGGCCGTGGTGGCATCATTTACGTGCAGCATTTGCAAGGATTCGCATCCCACTTACGACAGTCTCGTGGACCACTCGGTCATCCATGCCAGCATCTCGTTGGTCTGCCCGCTGTGCCAGGCTAGCATTGCTGACTTCGATAGCCTGGAGCCGCACATGCAGGCGCACAAGAAGAGCGAACGTCATGCCTGCGAGTTTTGCGATTTAATATTCATGACCTCAGGTCAGTTGCAGAAACACATCGAGGACGATCATGTGGTGGACATGGTGCCTTATCAGAATGAAAGCGAATACGAGCAGGGAGGCAGCAAAGCAGATGCCGAGGAGGAGTCCGAATTAATGGCAGAGCTATTAGGCGAAGAGTCGCAGACAGCTTCAAACGAATCAGTGACGCCACCGCAGTCAAAAATACGTAAACTCAATCCGAGTTCCAAGTCAGCGGATACCGAAAAATCCAAACAAGAGTCACCGTCAAAGAGCATCAAAGATGAGCCGTCTTCGCCAGAGGTACTGAAAAGATCTCGCACATCAAAGTCACCCGCAGCTGCCTCCGTTTCGCCTGAAAACAAACGTCAAACGCGCCGGCAAGAGACCAAAGAGAAGAATGTGAAACCAAGTGACTCGGGCAAAAGATTGACTAAGAAAGTTTCCGCAAGTCCGGAAAAACCAGGCTCCAAGCAAAGAAACGCAAAAGGCACAAGCTCAAAGCAGCAGAGCTCCAAGTAGATTCGACCCGGATTTTATTCTGGGACAGCAACGTTTATAAACCAAGACTTGGTTTAAGCATAAGAAATGTTCTTTACATTTGGCAAATGTATAAAAGGATCAATCACGAGTCATTTTCAATTTTTTAAAAACAAAAGTTACACATTTTTATGAATTTACATCTAGTTTCGTTTGTGTCCAACTCGGATTCTAATAATTGAAATGTGAAGAGAAGTGGATGAAAATTGTATACAAGGAACGTAGTAACAAATAAATATTTATCTAAAAAAAAATTAGCATGAGACTTTGTCTATCCATAGGTATGACACTATTTAGGCGATGCCTGGAAATCTATTTGAGATTCGGAGTGATGCCTTAGCAAACTATTCTTCGGTCGCTTATCCAGTTTGTCACTCTTTATTTAGTTAAGTTTATCGGGAGTGTTTGTGTGTATTTCCACATCAATTACAGCTAACAATATGTTTAAATACATTGAGTGTTATTTATTATAGCAGCATTGGCAGTTTACCAAGAGCTACGACACTTTTACAAAGAGTGGTATAACCGCTTAGTGTTCATAACCATCGGGCAGAGCGTTAACATGGGGGTTGTGGAACAGGCTCTTGTTGCCCTCGCCCCAGGGGAAACGCTTCTCACGGCGACGCAGGTATTCGTACTTGACGAATTCCGGACGAGGGTGGTCGTGCTCCTCCTGGTGCTTCAGGTAGGCGTTCAGCATGCACAGACCAACTGCTGGCATGGCCACGAAGAAAGACAGACGCTTCCAGACCTTGTAGCCACCTGCCAAGAGATCAGATATTTAAGCAAATGCTCTCAACGATATTTTAAGTTTTGGTGGAAACAACAAATTATATAACCTTAACCTATGAGGGAGGATATTATCGACTGTGGGCATATTTACCAGAATGTTCTCCAGCTACGGCGGCAGTGCCGGACATGTTTCTGGCGGCAATAACGCCAATTTGGCGACGGATCGCGTTGTTCAACACAAACGACATATTTACGTTGTAATTTCTGTGCCTTATGTGATTTATAAATGAAAATTCACTCTTCTTCTTATCTTTGACAGTCAGCTCTGTTCGTTCGCCTGTTAAATTAACATTCCGCTGTTCTGTTATTTACAGTAAGTATCAGCTGTTAATTTAAGGCTGTCATCATTCAATTTCCAGTGCTGCAAAAATATTATTTAAAAATGTTAATTATTGAAAGGAAATGTATTAAAATAAATACTCATATTAAGTTAATAACGGGAGGGTTTTGAAACAAAAGAAAACAATAATTATTTTCCTAAATGCTATCGATATCATACCGAAAAATACCAGAGTCTGCTTTAAATACCATTTTTTATATATAACGGCGTACAAATATGATTTTCCTATGCCTAACATTATGCAACTATTTTTATGGAGTCTCAGATTGCTAAATAAATTAAAAAATAAAAAGTTTATTAACAGGGAAAATGCTTTAGTAATTAGTAATCATACCACAAAAGATAATATAAATAATCCATATGCATCGCCAGATCTTGACAAACATGGTTTTATTACTTGAGAATCCCAGGGGATTTTCTAAGCTAGAGAAAGTTTGACAAGCGATTTTGTTCGCACTTAGAGATAAAGTTAAGTCGGAGATTTAAATATATTAACTATCTAGGCAAATAACAGACTCCACCCCATCCTTTTCCTATTTCTGTTTTCTGCCTCAAGGATGAAATCTAAGATCTAGATTCATGATTTGAGGATCACTGCAAGTCTTGCATTGTTCATTATTTGATCACGTTCATGGTGAAAAGCCAAAAAAGACAAAAACGTGTCCAAAAGTAATCTTATCTATATTTAATTTTGTCCACAGATGTTTTGCGCCTCACAACCAGACAGATCGGATTTGCTGGCAGACTGCTTCATTCTTCCTTGGCCAAATTAACGACAACATATCAAGTCATATAAGGCTAATAAAATTACGATGCCCAAAAAGCTGACAGATTTAAATGATAACTGAAATGAGGCTGCATAAACCGAGCTATTGAGTAATTTAGATTAGAGTCTCCGGCAACTGTTTCTATAAATACGTGGGAATAAGGGAAGCCTCGGTGTCAGTCTGTGAGCAACTCAAGCACAAGTATGGGGTATCTCTTTATTACTATTGCGCTGCTTAGTGCATTAGTAGCGACAGCTCGGTCGGCCGCTACCTTCAATTGTAAGTGCTTAGTTTAGCTGGGGGTATTTGAAGCTAAGAATCGAATTCTTTGGCAGTGAAGGAAGTCCACACGCAGGAGCAGCTGGTGGGGTCATCTGGGCCCATAGGTTCGGCTAGAGGTGCGAATATAATGGATCCCAATGCTTTGGCGAAGAACAAGTATACGCCACCGGAGGAGAAGGACGCTCAGTTCTGGTATGACATTGCCAATGAGGAGTTGGCCAAACGTTTGGCATTGCCGCAGCCCGACAAGAGGAAGGCCAAGAATATAATCATGTTCCTGGGCGATGGAATGTCGCTAACAACAATCGCAGCTGCCAGAATTCTGAAGGGTCAACTGAAGGGCAACACAGGAGAAGAGGACTCGCTCAGCTTTGAGAAGTTCCCCTACACGGGATTGAGTCGGGTAAGCAGTGAACAAAACTGTTTGACATCCACTTGCATTCTGATTGATATTCTCCATTCGGACAGACCTATTGCTCCAATGCTCAAGTGCCAGACTCTGCCTGCACTGCCACCGCCTATCTGTGTGGCGTCAAGACCAACATTGTCGCCCTGGGCATCACGGCCAACGTGAACTTCAACAATTGCAGCGGCAGTGAGGATCCCGCCAATCAAGTGAGCTCCATTGCCGCCTGGGCTCAGGCAGCGGGCAAGGGCAGTGGAATTGTGACCACGACAACCTTGACACATGCCAGTCCCTCGGGCGCCTATGCACATGCCACCAATCGGTTCTTTGAGTCCGACACGGACATTGTTACCTATGGCGAGGATAAAAACTTCCCCGAGTCCTGCACGGACATTGCCACGCAGCTGATTACCAAGGAGCCGGGCAAGAACTTTGATGTGATGCTGGGCGGCGGCATGGGCAAATTTTTGCCGAAATCAATCACGGATAAGTTCGGCAACCAGGGCGAACGGTCGGATGGCGTCAATTTGCTATCCAGGTGGCAATCGTTGCATCCGGATGGAGCTCTGGCCTACAATCGCAAGCAGTTGCTGAGCGTGAATCCCAAGAACACGCCTCGATTGATCGGTCTCTTCAATTCTGGTGTCATGGACTTCCACAAGTTGGCCGATGCGGAAAAGCAGCCCACATTGGAGGAGATGACCAAAAAAGCCATCGAAGTGGTCAGCCAGAATCCTAATGGCTACTTTCTGTTCATCGAGGGTGGGCTCATCGACTACGGTAATCATTTCAATGTACCTCAGATAGGGCTTAACGAGGTGCACGAGCTATCCAAGGCTGTCGAAACGGCGCTGGGCATGACAAATCCCAACGAAACTTTGATTGTGGTCACCTCGGATCATGGCCATCCGCTGTCCATCTCTGGCTATCCGGGTCGCGGTACAAATATTCTGGGACTCAATCAACACGATACCGATGTCAATGGCGTTAGGTATGCCACCTTGAATTATGCCGTCGGCACCAAGCCGTATCTGGATGAGAATGGCAAACGCGTGCCGCTCGAGGATAAAATCGATGATCCCTGTAAGTGCAGAAGTGCGACTACGAGGAATACCTATTGCTTATAATCTACTCTATCATTTAGCGTTCATCTTTCCGAGTTATATAACTGGCAACATTGGCGTCCATTCGGGTGATGACGTTGGCATCTTTGCCACCGGTCCCCAGAGTCATCTATTCTCCGGTGTTATGCAACAGCACACAATACCCCATCTCATGGCCTATGCCGGCTGCATTGGCAACGGGCCTACCGTCTGCGATAACTGAGCAACTGAAACTAGGGATGCTTACCTCTAAATGGCTATGATTACATAACAGCAAATAACCTAAACCAGCAAATGTTGATTTGCATGTTATGAAAATAATTTTTCATAATAGTTCTTGAAGTTTTCTGCGCGGGGGTTTCCATTCGTGGACTCCTTATACCTAGGGAATATCAAATAAATTGTGTATATCAATTTTTTTTAAATATTTATTTATCTCCCATACCCTCAACAGTCAAGGCTGATTTAATGCTAATGCTAATACTAATGTAAATGTTAATATAAATGTTATATTCATTGCGTATTCAAGTTGACAGCTGGCTAAACGATTTCTCCACTTTAATTAATTAGGAATGAAAAAAAAAAAAAATAAATAAATGAAACAACATTGCTAAAAATCAATAATTAAATTGACATTACCCGTTTTATTTATTGACATTTTATGCATGTTTCGCATGGAAACTTATTTATGCGAATTCCTGTTCTCACATGAAATGCAAATTTTATATATATAGATTTTTTTCAACTAAAAATTGATTTCAATTTAAAACGCATCAAACATACAAACATCTTGCGAGTAAATATATATGCAATACATATTTGGAAAGTTTGTGCGTGCTGAATACCCTGTAATATTCCATGCCACCCTTTGAAGAGCATGCACATATTAGACTAGGAAGAAATGGAAATGTGATTGTGCCTTGGGTAAGATTGAATTACTGTCATCTTATTTATTTTAATTTAATTTTCTTTTAGTTTTCTCAAATTTAATGAGTATCTCTCTGTTAAGCTTTGCTCTGCTGCTTGCATTCACATTTGTTTCAATTGCCGCCTGACGAACGACATCGATTTTGTATCACTTGGACTTGGAGTGCTAACACTTAATGCATATGAGTGTGTGTCAATGTTTGTGTGTGTGTGTGCGTGTGTGTTTGTAATATTTTCTGAATGTCAGGTTCAAGTATTATCAGTGCGTCAGTCATGCACAAATGTATCTGTTAGCTTGCAACGGGCAAGTGGCACCCACACAGGCATTTAGAGCAGCAGCTGTCTCGCTCACTCGTTGACTTAGACTTGTAATTGTGTTCATTGTTGGCTGCCTTTTTAAATGTTTTTTTTTTTTTTGTATTTTTTGTTGTTGCTGTTTTTAACGCGTTTTTGACACAAATGACTGTGAAACAGTTTGTCGAGACAATAAACATCAATTTTTTGTTTGTATTCGCATGCATAAAGAGTTTGCAATTAAGGATTCCAAGGCTGGGTCCTTGCGGTTCACATTGCGTCATCTCAGTCTGTGCAGCCTCTGCTGCTTTGTTTGCTCTGTCTGCTGCTGCTGCTGCTGCCCAATTCTGAGTCCATATTGAGCTCAGTTCAGACTTTATTTTATTATGATTGTTTGTTGGTCTTGTTTGTTCGCTTGTTTATTTGCAAGTCGACTGCTTGGGGTGCGCGCGTTCTGCTCTAAACATTTCGTTTGCTCAGCGAAAAGTGGCAGCCGTTGACGCTGTCGCTGTCACCGCCTGCCTCTGCCGCTGCCGCTGCTGCCAGAGCTGCTGCCAGTGCTGTTGCTGCAGTCGTCGTTAACAAGCGTCGGCTCAAAGTTTCAACGTCTCAACTAACCAAGTCTCAGTTGAAAATCTGTCGCGACAGCAAACGCGCGTGCGGCTTAAGCTTTTAATGCTAATTTTTATTGACTGCAACTTGCGATTGTGTGCGTGTGTCTGTGTGTGTGCGTAGGTATTGTGTGTGTGCGCTCATGCGCAACAACTGCTTGCAGCAAAGGCGCTTAAATTTAGTCACGTTTGCCTTTTGAATCATTGAGAACTCTTTCGAGTGCTACAATTATTGCCAGGTAAGTGTCAAATTCAATTGGCAGCAGCCGCGGCAGCAGCATCATTAAACTTTAAATTGATTCAATAATTTAGCCAGAGTGTAACTAGGTGGCAGCTCTGTAACAGGATAACAAATGAGCCGAACTAGTTCACAAATTTATTGCCATTCGCTGGCTATGCAGACATCGGTTAGTTAATTCAAATGCGACTATTTATGCAGTTGCCAAACTGGAGCAATGCACATTGAGAATTTGGTTATTTGATGCTTGGCAGGAAATCAGCATCGAGTATCGGATTTAATAAGACAGCTCTGTGAGTTTGATTGAATTGCGGTTAGCACAGTGCGCGAGCGGCACAATAACTGACTGTACTTTGGCAGAGGTGTTGAATATTCGACTTTTATGAGGCAAGCAATACTATAAAAGGTAACCGCAAATACAGGTGAGACAGTTGGGTTTGCTTTACGATATGTTTACCTGGTTTTTTATTGTGCGGCTGTTGCTGTTTTGATATACGGCCAGGGCTTCAGCGCTTTCGAAAGTTTACTTTCGGCCAAACATTTGCTATCCCCATTTGATTCCCCAAAATCTACTCGCATTTTTCATAAAGCACAGTAGAAAGTAATACGCGAATAGCTCAAGTAGTTTTGCCAGCCGTTTGTGCTACTTATTTGTGGCTATCATGTTCCCGACCTGGCTTTTACCAGGCTGCCACTGCTGGCAGCTGGGCCAAACGATGAAAGATGCAAGATGAAAGAGAAGCAACAAGAGATCTGGTCTGCATAACTGCTGCTGGCAGTTCGTGGGTGTAGATGCATTTAGTCTGATAAGCCAGCAACTGCAAGCTCAACTTAGCCCAGTCACGGCACTCAAAAACTCAATCTAGGCTAATTCAAATACGATGCACAGCCAAAATGTTAAGACGCGTATGCAATTCATCAGCTGCCTTTCGGGTATTTAAGTAATTTATTAGAGCATCTGTTTGGATATGGATCTGCGCGTGTTCGTTCGCTTGCTGCTTGTTGTTGTTTATCCGCATGTTAGCGCCTGGCTGCCAAAGTTTGCAATGTGCATATTTTCGTATCTCACAGCTACACACCTACATATATGATCATACCTGTAATTTGCTGCTTCTGTTTACTTGCCCATGAACCTGAGCATTTCTCGTTGATTCCAGCAAAATATTTGGTTTACTGAAATTGCAACTTTGCAGCTTTGTCACGTGAGACGCGCACAGTTCGGACGCTCTAATCTAATCTCCAGCGAGTAGCACGAAGCGAGGATCTGATTGTGCAAGATTCACTAAGATATTTTAGATATTATTTTTAACTATTTTCATTGCTCGGCTGTCTACTTTATATGCGGCATAAAAGCCAAGCTAAGAATATATATATATATAGATTAGGTGTCTTATCTAAAGAGCCGTCTTACACCTTATTTAGTTAAATATCCCAGGCAGTAAATATTTTTATAATGATTGCATTAAAGCGTGGAGCTGTTCCGGTTGTAACCTGAAATTGTTTGCGAATTTTGGGAGAATTACGGAACGTCTTCAGCTATTATGATAAATCCAAGGTATTTGAAGAGTTCTGTTTGCAATTTGGATTTCCTTATTTATACAATGTGATTGAATGCATTTGCCTTGCTTAACTATGAATTTAACACTGCTGAAATTATGGAATTGATCGAGAATAGAAAGAATCGAAAAACTTGTAATAATAATCAAAAGTTCACACGACAATAAACTGGCTCTGGGCCGAGCTGAAATTTAGAGATTTGCTTTGATTGTAAATATACAAAATGTAAATATGAAAGACTCGTATTGTCTTTAGACTGTGGTTAAGGTTAACCAGATTTCGTTCGCTTACACGTCACCCGAAAGCAGGAAAACAGAAATTTTTGTTTTGTTTTTGACCTGGGCAAATTGTAACAATATTTAAACATTTGCATATATGAGTGCCCCGTGCTCGTCCACTCGCCCATTAATCCCATTAATTTGTGTGTGTGTGTGTGTTTTTTTTTGTAACTTTTTTTTGGTGTTTTTGCTTTGCTTCATTTTAACTAAACACTAAGCTAAACAAAGCACAACAACACGCAAACAACCGCCGATGTGTTGACGTTGACAGCCCAGTTCCGGTAAAGCGTCGCTGAACCCTCTCAGACCAGAAACGAAGGTGACTCGCTGGACTACTGGTCTTACCAATCTGCTACACTCTTGTCCAGCTGACGATCCGCTGATGTCATATCAAACGGTCAATGACTAATCTCACGGGAGAGCTGAACTTTAGGGCAGAGTCATGCGATTTGTTTGTAAACATCGGCCAGAAGTGCGCAGACTTATGTAATTAAGCACACACTCATTGCATGCTAATTGGACTGGCTGAGAGTTATTGGCAAACAGAGCTGATGCGGTCTTATTGGCGTTTGCATGAGAAGCAATTAGCTTATAAGCTGGAGGACTCCAAATCGATTAATTATATGTATGTATATGCTTCTTGAGCTGGTTCAGCATTTGGAACTAATGGAATGAACAATCGAAATGAAATAATTGCTCGTCTGTCTATTCGTCTAGATTGTTTATTGGTCTATCTATTTAATGTAATACTAGATATATTAAATTGACATAATTGATATCGTATACTCATATAAAATATTACAATTTTTGGGTACAAAAACTTCTCTTCAAAAACTTAAAATAAATAAAATTTGTATTGACTATTCTATATATTTATATATGTATATATACATATACATTTTTTATAGACTATTCTATATATTTATATATGTATATATACAATTCTTCCGGTTCACTCATAGTAAAAAATAGATTTAAATAATATACATAATTGTGGGCGTGGCAATTCAAATGAAGCTGAGTTCTCTAAAGCTTTAAGTTAATATAGCAAATATGTTGCTGTTGACCTCCCATCTAGATATAAACAATATGTATTCATGGCTATTAGGCCATGTATAAATTGCATAAACTTTTCGATATTTATCAATAAAAATATTCATATATTTTTCTAGACATTGTCCCGTTAAATATAAAGCTCAACGTTTATTTACAGTGGGAATTCCCAAACTAATCAAAGTTGACTAAGAATGAGTTTCGTCTCTATGGGCTATTCAAAAATGATATTTACGCACACCTCAAAGTCCGATCGCATCAGAATCTATTTATAGCTACATTTGAGATCTAGAATCACCTGGTTTGACAGGTGCAAGTTTATGGCTCCATTTGAATTGGTGCATTTAGTCGTATTGAACCACGAACGAGTCTTATATTCATCCAGTTGCCATTGACAGCAGCATTCTCATTTGATTTTCAAGTAGAGCTTCTGGCAATTGCCTCATAATTTTGCACTTTAGATTTGGTAGCTGCTGTAAAATCGGTGTTTTATCGCTTTGGCTAATGCGTCTTGTTGGCTTTGCAGTCAAATTGATTGAAGTTTCGGTTCGCCTAATGATCCAGCGCGTTTAGCACTCAAATTTCATTTGCAGTTGGCTGCTATTAGGCGGCTAAGCTAAATAATTTAAGGTTTGGCGATCGTTTAACAACATTTTCAATTATACTTATCAAATTGTGCAATTAGTCATGTAACATTATCAAGCTGTGATTGCTGGCCGTGCGCCACACAACAAACAATCGGAGAGGGGGGGGATTGGTATGAATGCGAAGCGTGACGACATCATCAGTGCCACTTAGGAGCTGGTGATATTCGATATGCGGCAATTAAAATGTAAATGCTGTGCAAAATGCAATTCGCTATTTGCCCGTTGGCATGCCAGTTAAAATATGCCACGGCTCTGAATCAAGTCAGCCCCAGTATTCCAAGAAGCAATTGCATTGCTCATACGCAACGTTGACTTAAGGTTATTGTCATGAATTTATTGAATTCGAAATGTTGAACACAAGTCACTGGAAATTGACACGTTTCAAGTTTAGCATATTTTTGTAATTGATTCGAAATGATTATTATTATGAGACTACATATTTATTGGTATTATTATTCGTATTGTTATTGCCGTAAGGCTGTGAGAACGATTTGCATTGGAGATACACATAGATACACACCCAGAAATGCCTAAAGATTCAATTCAATTTGCCCATTGAACATATCAAATGACGACAGCATGACATGTTTTTTCAGTTAGTGGAAGCTGTTAAAATCGAAATTAATTAATGCATAAAACGTGGCTTTGTCTTGTCGCCTTGCAGTGCGCTGTCTATACTCTGCTTCTTGCCTATCATACGCCCACCGTAATTGATAAAAAACAAGTAAGAAGACTCTAGTCGAGACTGCTCGACTAGGAGATACCCTGAACCCTCCAAGCTGATATTCTTATCATTCTGCACTTCTTTTATGCACGCACACATACATTTACA